CATAACAAAATGTTATACTGAACAGTTTTTAATTACCTGTACATACAAGTAATTCAGGACGCATGTACAGAAGAGTATTTCAGCATTTTAATCGAACGCATACTGGTAAATATTCTACCAATTTCAGGGATTAGTTTCACAATAATTTACACCATATTGTGTATTTATCAAGATAAAATATGTAATATTAATCAATTTGAACATGCTAGAAAAATACACGATTATCAAAATTGTATAATTGTTATTTATAAATCCAATTGTTTGCTGGATACGTTATGATTCAATACTATGTACAGTTGTAATATTTATTTTCGTTAGTTGGTGATATGGTAACCGAACAAATGGCGAACGATGTATATTCGGCCTGCGCTGACGATTGTGAACATGGTTGGTGTGACGAATCGGATACATGCCAATGTGACAATGGTTATTCTGGAATTAATTGCGAAATTGGGAATGGTGAGTACTACTATTTTGGCGGTTTTAAAAGTCGCGTGCCTTTCAATAATAACAATTTTATTTCTTTAATTATATCATATATATGTCTATCATGTCACGTGTACAAGATGACAGCTTACAATGGGCCCTGGGCGAAATGTCACATACGTCGCCATCCTGAAAGGCTAAGCCTCCCTGGCGGCCTTTTTACTGATAATTTTGTCACTTTCCATAATAGTGTGCGTCTTATGATTTCCTAGGCTTCCCTTTCGAAATGGCGACTATTTGACCTTTAGTTTTCGCAATCGCACTTTATGCGGTATTAGCCTTTTGTGATTGTAATTTCGCAATTGTTTCTAAAGCAGTATTTCGATAAAATTTGATCATCTTTACGTGGCTATGTGAAACTCACATAACATGTTTTTTTTACGACTTTACTTAAATAAATCTGTTATTTATAGGACACATCTACGCAATCTTTGACTCTAGAGTCTTTAATTTTGATCTCCTGAAATATTGAAGAAGACTCAGTTACACCGACAACCAACGTTGATGGCGTAGCAACCGAACATCGTGCCGGTTTAACGAACCCTACCTGTGTTAACGTTTATAGCGATGGTTATTCGGGATCTTATTATGATATTGAAACAGATGCGAACTATACGCAATTCTAGACAGTACGACATATGTGGACAAAGTGTGCACCCTGAATTGTTTCTAATATACTATGTGAACTTCAAAACACCAAATCATTATCAAAAATTATTTACCCATAAAATTATGCAATAACTACAAAAATCTATAACTTATGTCCGACGATTCTTGCTTTTTATCAAAACCCAGGAAATGATGTATTCACTACTCCAGATGTTGACGTTATTGGCGCTACAACCGAACAAGCAAACATTATAGCCAATATTGTTTCTTCCTCTTGCGCCGAAGATTGCGTGCATGGCTCGTGCGATGAATCCGGTATCTGCAAATGTGACGACGGTTATTCAGGAATGTATTGCCTAATTGATGATTGTGAGTAAATTGACCAAAGTGCATCATCATTTCTTGGCCTGACAAGTTCCATCCAAGCTACCGTTTGGCAGTCATTGGAACCAAACTAAAATATAGTCGCCACTAAATATTTGTGTATGGGCAACAAATAAGTTATATGATAATTGGTTAAAATTACACTTGGGCTCTGAGATGAAACTTCTGGTAATTGCAGCAGATTATTCTAAAATATTTCATTTACGAAGTGGCAATATGTGAGCAAATATTTAAGACGGTGTTCAATGACAACGGAGGTTTTCTATGTGATTATCAAGTTTATGATATCATTGCATTTGTCTTTATAATTATGCACTAACAACGAATCCAACTTGAAAATTATTTATTCAAGATGGCCACCATTGTTTAACACAACACAAGCTGTATAGCTTAACAAATCGAGTCCACGATGGAAATTCCCTTCCTCGTGTTTGGGCCCAATTCTTTACATCTTTTTGTGTAGTTGCAGTTTTCCATTTCCTCGTACGTCATTGATTAAGCAAACGACTAATTACACATTTGTATTACAGTATAAAATACAATAACAAAAAATAGTTTGGTGTGATATTTTGTTTTTATTCCTCAAACTAGACACTGTCTGTCTTGCTACCTGTCAGCATGGATTGTGTGACATTAATGGTGTATGTATATGTCATGTTGGTTTCAATGGTAACAACTGTGAACATATCACTGACGAAATGTCAGTAGTAACTGACGAATCCGCTCTCGCAGGTATATATACCATTTACATACATGGCCGCCGTATAGACATGATGTGATGGTCACAGCAAACATGAAAGTCTATAAATGTTACCCAATAATTTAGCCAGAATTGAAAGCTATTTTTGTTATAAACTAACATGATATCCAGTAAACTCGACCCTATAACGTATGATATTGTGTGATTGTTCAATTACACCCTTACCACCGCCGTCTAATCACTGACACTTGTGCTTACTGTGTGCTTGTGTATGATCTCGTGTATTTACTGTTGTCGACACGTTGAATGACACATAATGACCGTTTTAACAATAAGAATGCATTTTTAACTTAAACCAACACAGGAAATGGTGCAATTACTATTCAAGTCGTTGACTTTGATGACGCTACAACCGAACAAGCAATCATTTTAGAACATTATGTTTCTTCAGCCGTTTCTTCCCTTTGCGCTGGATTATGCGAACATGGGTGGTGTGACGAATTCCATAACTGCAAATGTGACGCTGGTTATTCGGGAAATTATTGCGAAATTGAGAACAGTGAGTAATTTTAGATTTATACTTGACAGCGTGCATCGTTCTTTGCAGATCGGACAGGTTTATTCACATCAATACCACATAGTATTTATTTTGAACGTCTATTATGTGACCCCTGCAACCTCTATACATTGAAACATTGCCCCCAGATTGTAATGCAGTGCATTTACAGGTTGTGCAGCTACGTGTGTAAGTGGCTTATGTGACGAGTCTGGATTATGCGTCTGCTTTGAAGGCTATTACGGCGTTCACTGTGACGATAAAGGTAAATCATAATCTGAATTATGTGTGGTATATGTAGTAATATTAGCGAATGTTTTATAATTAGATCATTTATCAGAAAAGAATCTTAGACATTTAAAAAAATTGCTGTACATTGGAAATATGTCTTGATATGAACTGTCTGTTTTACACGGCACTACATATAAAAGTGTGCTTCTCAATCATTTGTGTTTTAATTATTTTTTTTACACCAAAGACCAGTTCTGTCACACCGGTAGACCGTGTAGCAATGGCGGTACATGTCACAGTGTCTTCGTAGGTGATGGTAAGATTTTCGACTCGTATTGTCAGTGTGCGGGCGCTTATCTGGGACACCACTGTGACGAAGGCAAGTACATGTAATTTTATTGTAACACACTGGCACGTAATTAGAACATTAAACTATTAGATTTACAAATTTATCAAATTTACAAATGCTTTAAAATAATATTCAAAAAGTACATTTCAAATCCCACACGAGCAACGTTTACTTTGTTTGTTAAAAACGACTGCCAACAGTCTCGGTTGCGCCAATCAATGGACATCAAGAATCTTCAGTTTCTTATTTTGACGCTTACTCCCATAGAACAGTTTTGAAAAGAAAACTCATACGTCAATCTGTGTTCTGAAGATGATCACGTTGTTGTAAAGTTAAAATCTGACATAAAGACAATTACGCAAGCACAAATGACTTGCTAAATTGTTGAATTTGTTTAGCAAAATAAAAAAAATGCCCGACATTACGCCTGACACCGCAGCTCCTAGCTATCTACGTAACATATATTTTTTGTATTTGGTCTTCCGAGTAGATTGTTTTGCAACATGTGAGCATGGACTGTGTGACGTTTATGGCGCATGCGTGTGTGATGAGGGTTACCATGGTGACAAATGTGAACATATCGCAGAAGTGTCTGTACAATCTGAAGAATCCGATGCGACAGGTAAATAGGCGGTGTTTTCTGATGGGTAAAGTACGGCATCTCGGGCGCTCATGGTACTTAACGGCACGTTTGGGGTCTCGGTTCTAGTAAACAAGCTGTTAACTACAGTTAGTCCGAGTTGCATTACGTTGAGGAAATAATGCTCCTAATTTGGCGAGTGTTACGTAACTGTATTGTACAAGAACAATCAACCAATGACCTGTAGAAATCGCACTTGATTCATTAACATTGTGCGCTTCACTTGTGAGAACAATCCAGTTTTGAAAAACTGTTCTCTCCCAATAAACGACATTGTTGAGAGCAAAGAAAGTAGTGAATGTGTACTTCTTAGTTCTTTTCTAGTTTATGCTGAACAAAAACTGTCGACTAGCAAAGGGTTAGCGGACAACAATAGCTACGGGTCAAATTGTAATATTACTGAATGTATACCTGACATTTTATTTAGAACTCTATAAATCATGTCAATTAACTATTATTCAGCAGAATGTGGTCAACTGTGCCAAAATGGCACATGTAATGAATATGGCGAGTGTATTTGTGAGTATGGTTACCATGGGAGCTATTGTGAAAATAAAGATGTTTCTATAAATACGGTTGATGAATCAGGTAAGTATACCTTGCCATTTTGTGAACAATTTGTAAAAAATCAGTTGGTGTCGATTTCCACACAATATGATGTGCACATTTACAGCTGAAGTTTACGTGACAGTTGCTGTCCTGATTGAATTAGTTCTAAAATATATGATGAGAAAACATGTATAACAATTGAGACCTGAAGTTAACATTGATTCATTTGTTACATTTTTATGTGAAACTTTGTGTACCGTCTTGAAACAGTGAATACGAAATGGATGGGTACACTAATACAGTCACTCTACTAGTAGAGTGACTGTGACTAATATGAATGAAATGTAAAGTACACTAATGTTACTCTTAAAGCTTCTCCCATGACATCGCTATATAATGTGTTACTTTGCAACATTAACGAATGTCAATTGCCTAAATCGGCTTTTAAACTTTCCCATTAGCTAGCATACACGATGTATTGCAATCGCGAGGGAACGCGTTTAAGTTATGCCAATTGTTGCGTATATAACATATAAATGCCAATCCTGCAAACGGGTAAATAAATAGGTTTATTTGTACTTGTTTATAACTGAATTCATTTAGAGTTCATGTAATTAAAACACAAGTTTATTTACATATAAATCAGGATAAGCAAATATTTGTACTTCTAGACAATAACAGTTAAAAGTATTGAAATGTTAGAAAATCTACCTTCAGCTAAGAAAAGTGTTTTCCTTGTAAAGACGTTTGATATATCTTTGAGGCATTTCGTTATTTCTTCAACCTCTCCCATTATTTCAGTTTGGTTTTACTGGTGAATGTGTGCATTGAAATGTACACACTAGAATCATGTATTCGTAAAGCAAGATATAAATTATGAAATGAAATATAAAAAAAAATGCCCAACATTACGCCTGACACCACAACTTCTAGCCATCTTGGTAACAAATATGTTTGTATTTGGTCTTCCGAGTAAATTGTTTTTCAACATGTCGGAATGAATTGTGACATTTATAGCGTGTGCGTGTGTGATGAGGGTTACCATGGTGACAAATGTGAACATATCGCAGAAGTGTATGTACAGGTAACGTGGGCGGTGTTTTCTGATAAAGGACGGCAACTTGGGCGCTCATGGTACTTAACGGCCTGTTTAGGGTCTCGGTTCTAGTGAACAAGCTGTTAACTACAGTTAACCCGAGTTGCAATACTTTAAGAAAATAATACTTCGAATTTGGCGAATGTTACGTAACTGTATTGTACAAGAACAATCAGCCAATGACCTGTAGAAATCACACTTGATTCATGAACATTGTGCTCTTCACTTGAGTCTTGTGAGAACAATCTAATTCTGAAAAACCGTACTCTCCCAATAAACGACATTGTTGAGAGCAAAGAAACTAGTGAATGTGTACTATTAAGTACTTTCCTAGTTAATGCCGAACAAAAACCGTTGGCTCGCGAAGGGTTAGCGGACTATAGCTACGGGTCAAAATGTAATATTACTAAATGTTTACCTGGAACTTTATTTAAAACTCTATAAATTATGTCAATTAACTCTTATTACTATGTTTCATTCAGCAGAATGTGGTCAACTGTGCCAAAATGGCACATGTAATGAGTATGGTGAGTGTATTTGTGAGTATGGTTACCATGGGAGCTATTGTGAAAATGAAGATGTTTCTATAAATGCGGTTGATGAATCAGGTAAGTATACCTTGCAATTTTGTGAACAATTAGTAAAAAAATCAGTTGCTCTCGATTTCCACACAATGTGATGTGTACATTGACAGCTGAAGTTTACGTGACAGTTACCGTCCTGATTGAATTAGTTCTAATAAATATGAAAATAAAACGTGTATAAGAATTGAC